CTCCAGGAGTCATCCCTCATAACAAAGAAAAAAATGGGTGGGTGGGGAGGAGTGCAAAGCAATTCAACAAAACCAACCAAGACATCAACCAACTGGAGAGTACCACACCTAAAAAAACCCCATGGTACAAAGAAAAAAAAAAGGACGTTCAGGACCTTTTCTTAACTCTTTTTCCAGGCCAAGTTTGGTCATTGTCATTAAGCAGTGTTCAACTAGAAAATTTTGTTCTTTTATTGATGTTGTTGTAATCAGTGTGTGTTGTTTTCCTTATTCTGCTTTTATCAAAGCTCGATTTTGAAATGAAGGACCTTTCGTGTAAAACATGAAGAGCACTCCAAAGTGCTCTTAAAGAGTGTTTTTTGTAGCTTGGCTCCATGCTTTTCTTCTTTTAAGAGATTTCCACCACGGTTCCTAAATCGGCTTGGATCTGAAGCTTTTCTCTGTGGAGACAACATTTTTTTTTAAAATTGATTTTATTCTGAATTCTAGAAATAAAACAACCATTTCTGTAACATATTAGAATAGAAAAAACATGACTGCACATGAAACTGCAAATCTATGATGTACAACTTGCTATTCCTTTAAAATATGTATTAAAGCTATCATGTAACTTTTTTCTTTTTTTTTTCTTTCCTCACTGCCCCAGACCTAGAGATGGCTACCATTAGAAACAAATAAGTATTTTTATGTAAAATAATTCTATACATACTTCTATTTATCAGTTCTTTTTCTGGATGCAGATAGCATCTTCCTTCATAGGTCATGTGTAGTTAATATGGGTATTTATAAGAGTCAAAATACATTACTAGCTCCAAGTTGTTCTTAAATAATATTGCTGTTAATGTATGCAATGTTCTCTTGGTTCTGCTCAATTTTGCTTCATTATTTCATGCAAGTCTATCATGTTTTTCAAAGATCATCAAACTCATCATTTCTTATAACAATAGTCATAAACCACAACTTGTTCAGCCATCCCCTAACTGATAAGCATCCCCATAATTTCCAGTTTTTGCCACCACAAAGAGAGCTGCTATAATACTTTGGAACATATAGGTTCTTTTCCTTTTTCTCTAAGTATCTTTGGAAATAGACCTAGTAATGGTATTGCAGGGTCAAACGGTATAGGCAGTCTAATAACTCTTTGGGCATAATTCCAGATTGCTCTTCAAAATGGTTAGATCAGTTCACAGTTACACCAACTATGAATTAGTGTCCCAATTTTTCCATATCTCCTCCAACATTTGGCACTTTCCTCTTCAATTATTTTGGCCAATTGGGTAGGTGTAAAATGATATCTCAAGATTATTTTAATTTTGATTTCTCTAATCAATCATGATTTAGAGCATTTTGTCATATGACTATACATTATTTCAATTTCTTTATTGGAAAGCTGCCTGTTCATATCCTTTGACCATTTATCAAGTGGGAAATAACTTGTATTTTTATACATTTGACAAAGTTCTGTATATATTTGAGATATCAGAACTTTATTTGAGAAACTATGTATAAAATTTTACCCCAATTTTCTGCTTTCCTTCTGATCTTGGCTACATTTGTTTTATTTGAACAAAACCTTTTTAACTTGATGTAACTGAAATTTTCCATTTACACCTCATACTGCTCTCTTATACCTTGTTTCTTCATAGATTGTTCACCTCTCGTAAGCCTGATAGGTAATATATTCCATGTTCTTCAATCTTTCTTGTAATATCTCTCTTTCTATATAGGTCATGTATCCATTTTGACCTTATCTTGGGAAATGGTGTATGGTAATGGTCTATGCCCAATTTCTGCCGGACTACTTTTCAGCTTTTTCAACAATTTTGTACTAACTAATGAATTCTTCTCTCAAAAACATAAGTCTTCACACTTGTCAAACACACGGTTATTACTAAAGTCATTTGCTCCTGTAAATGGAGACAATAAATTTTAATTAGAGCTACTATTTAAGCAATAAATCCAAACATAGAAGGAAGATTTAGTTCTTGGGATCCTTTAATTTCATAAACCATACACCTCAGAAGCCAGAAATGTATTCCTTCCCTGCACTAACAACTAAGGTGCCAGAAAAGGAATCCAAAGTATTCCCAACCAGAACTCATCTTTAAGTAGGTTCATGAGAAGTTAGCAAGACATGGCTTGCGGAAATGAGGAGACTTAGGAGGCAAAACCAGGTTTCAGAAATCCCATTGCACCAAGGAATGGGGTTTCAGCAATTCTATTCAGCACAACTTATTACACTCTTCTCTTCTTGCCTTTCCCTCCCTCTCTCCCTCTAAAAAAGTACCTCAAATTCCAAGAAAAGCCTCCAGTTCTTTTCCCACTTCTGAATGCCTTCAAATAGTTCTTTGTGCAGCTCATAATATTGTTTCACCTTCACAATTTCTTCATCATGGAGCCTTAGCAAGATCTCTGTGTAGTTCTCTGTGTGAGGGAGATAAATAAGCCAAACTTTAAAATTCCTCTAAAGTCTTGCTAATCTTTCCTGTTTCCAATATAGCAAAATGCTCCAAATTTCCAAGTGTAATGAGTCACTTACACTCTTCTCTTATCACAGCCTCACTTGATCCATTCCATCCCATATTTTTCAGCAAATTACCCTTCTCTCATTCCTACTTTCTCTCCAGTCTTTCATTTCTCCCTGTCTGCTGTATGCTTTCCTGATGTCTACAAGCATGCTCATATCTCCTCCACCCTTAAACTCTCACTTGATACATCTATCTCTGCTGACTATTAACCTGTAGACCTCTCCTCTCTTTTGTAGCTAACCTCCTCAAGGAAGCTGTCTACAATCCATGTCTTCACTTCCTTTCCTCTTACGCTTAGCCACTCTGTCTTCTGACCTTATCATTCAATGCTCTCTAAAGTTATCTATGATCTTTTCATTTATTTGACTTTTAATATTTTTCATATTATATATAAAACCAAAATTTAACCTTTACTTTTTAAAATTTTGAGTTCCAAATTCTCTTCCACCCTCCCCTTCCTTTCCCCTTGCCAAGAAAACAAGTAATTTGATAAATGTTATACATGTGTACTCATGCAAAACATATTGCTATATTAGTCATGCTGTGAAAGAAAGCACAATCAAAAAAAAAAGGAAAAAGAAAGAAAGTTTAAAGAAATAGTGCGCTCCAAGCTGCATTGAGATTCCATCAGCTTTTTTCTCTGGAGGTGGATAGCATTTTTCATCAGAGGTCTTTTAGAAGTGTCTTGGATCACTGTATTGCTAAGGATAGCTAAATCATTCACAGGTGATCATCATACAACATTGTTGTTACTATGTACAATGGTCTCCTGGTTCTGCCCACTTTACTTTGCATCAGTTCCTGTAAGTCCAGGTTTTTGTGAAAGCATCTTGCTCATCATTTCTTATGGCACAATAGTATTCAATTACAATCACATGATTTCTTAACTGCCAAATCTAATAGCCATTTCTCAATCCTCATCTTTCTTGACCTCTCTGTCATCTTTAACAGTATCAACCCACCCTCCTCTCCTAGATTTTCTTTTCTCTCTAGGTTTTCATTATACTTCTCTCTCTTGGTTCTCTTTCTAACAGTTTGACTGATTTCAGTTCTTGTTAGATCTTCATCCAGTTTGTACCCACTATCAGTGGGTATCCCCTAAAGTCTCTATTCCGAGCAATCTTTTCCCTCTATATTTTTGATTGATGATCTCATCAGTTGTCACAGATTCAATTATCATCTCTATGCCAATGATTCTCAAATCTATTTTATCCAGTTCTAAAAGCCTCTCTGAACTTCCATTCTCGTATCTCCTACTGCCTCTTGGATATTTTGAACTAGACGTCAACTCAGCTTGGCCAAAACTGAACTGATTATCTTTCTTCTTCATCTTCCCCCAAACTCTCCCTTCTTCTAAACTCACCATCCTCTCAGCTACCAGTACCATGATTCCTCACTTTCTCATCTCCCAATATCCCATACTTTGCCAAATCTTGTCAATTCTAATTTCGTATCTTTCATGTACATGCCTTTCTCTCCTCTAACACTGCCAATACCCTACTGCAATCCCTCATCACATCACACCTAGACTACTGCAATGGCCTTCTGGACTCCCTATCTCCAGTCTCCTCCCCACTCCAGTCAAACCTTCACTCAGCCATCTGAGTGATCTTCCTAAAGAGCAATTCTTTGTTATCTCCTCTTCAATGAAATTCAATAAAGTCACACCAATGGATCTCTTTACTTCCAGGATCAAACAGAATAGGCCCTGTTTGCCTTTGAAAACTCTTCATAACCTGGCCCTTACCCACCTTTCCAGTTTTATTATCCCTTATTCTCTTCCATGT